CGCACACTGAATATCAATAATTATTAAAAAAAGTTGAAATTTTGATTTTCGCGCACAACAGTATGCAAAAAACTTTCTATGCTAACGTTAGCCAATAGATAATTTTAGCTATAACTCTTGAATGGAATGAGATATCTTCACCAAACTCGGTACACATGTGTACAAGCTCAATCTTTGAACAAATTAAAAAAAACGCGCAGCTCTGCCACTTGGTGGCGCTACATGACGGAAAAAAACATAAAAATTATGATAACTGCACAACCGTTGGTCCGATCGGCTTGAAAATTGGTATGCAGTGTCATGGTCCAAAGGGGCACTCTATAAAACCTAAACAAAAACTCAAAACGTTACAAAACGTGGTGAAAACATGTGTCAGATGACTCTTAACAAGGATGCAAAGTTTCATGGAGATCGTACTATTCTCTAGACTCTCTAGGTCAATAATTATCAAACAAATGTTGAACATTTGCATTTGCACAACTATAAACCGGTCATTTTATAATATGTTCTTTAGATTGTGTACCCAAAGGCCTAAAATCCTAAAAGAAAGCCCACAATGTCTCTCAAAACTGTGTAAAATGATGCATAATTTCATATTTATCTCAAATAACTATATCTGCAACAAAATGTGTGTGCATGTATGTCTGTGTATGTGTGTGTCTGTTTGTGTGTAAGCATGTTTATTGAGTATTAATATAATAGTTTAATCATTTAATTTCTGTGTGTGTGTGTGTCTGTGTCTGTGAGCCTTTTCTCCATTTTGGATGTGTTTTACTGTCAGCCATACATCCAGGTTGGCCTAGACCCTAAAACATACCACCTTAAAGCCCTTCAAGTGCTTGAACCCCGGTCATTGCTGCTTGCAGCTATATTAATTTTGTTAAAATTAAGAGAAAATTAAACCGAATGTTGTTTTTGTGTAACAAAAAAACACCCTCTAAGTAAGATAATCTCTAAATAATTTCGGTGGAAATGTTGCCATTAAAATTCACGAATGGCAAGTAAAGATTTGTCCATGAATCTGCGTAACGGAAACAAGTCGTGTAAACGTCAAAAAAAAAAAAAAAAAAAAAAAAAAAATGAGAAATTTCATGAACTGCTGTCCCTTTAAAACATGACGCATATCTAAAAAAACTACATTTCCCATCGGCTATTGCAATACCGCCGCACACCAGTGGGGGCGCAATTGCATAAATTCTCCGTTTTAAATAGCCCTTTCCTGTTAGTGTTTTGTTGTCGAGTGCGTGGTGTGTGTATGAAGGAGTGAGAGAGCAAACGTGGTCACGGAGAAGCGTAGCATTTTAGCTAGTTTGCGAGTGTGAATGTAGTGTTATACAGGCTCAAATATTTAGTATTATTTATTTTTGTATGTAGTCAAGTTTGCCACAAACGGACAAGGTAAATAATTATAGAAGGTAACGTTCAATTGATACTGAACTGCTGCTAACATATAAGTTACATTTCCCGGTTAAATTTGAGCTAAACTGTTTTATTCTTTTGCTTTAAGGTGCAAAGACACTATTTGATAAAGGCAGCTGGCTGAATTAGTGATTGGCAGACTAGTGTTGAAAATGTCCTTGGGCAGTCGGAAGACCACCAGTCAGGCAATTCCGACCACCAGACGAGTCACAATCAACGATGCGGCCCATATGCCTCATAATTACTCTACAACGCCCGGAGGGACCCTTTTTAGCACGACT